GCATGCATGTATGTATGTAAGTATGTGTGTGTGTGTGTGTGTATTGAGCATAGTAGACTCGCTTAACTATATATGCTCAGGAGCGGTGGATATGTTTGTTTGCGGCAGAGCATTCAACGTACCTCCACACAGCCCAATGACTTTCGCCGTTGATGGTTGCGCATGCACACCCTGCAGCGGCATCTCTGTGGATGGGGCACTGACCTGTGCTTAGAGCAGATGCTTGTTTGCATCCTGGATTACACTCATATACACCCTGTTGTTAGTATCAACACGAGCTTGTAGTCACACAGACACTCACACCATCATTCACTTCCTCGGTCTGATGGTGCTGATTTCCTGGAGCTAATATGTTGTGTTCGTATACTGAAGTGTATGTGGTGTTTGTGCCGGTATGCCGTTTTGCTTGCGAGTGCCCATTGTTCTACAAACCCACGTATACGTATGCGCACACACTATAACTCTATATACTATACACATATATGCACACTCTTTAAAGACATGCACATAACTCTATATACTATACACATGTGTACACATACTTTATACACATACACTAACCCTATGTACTATACACATACATGCACATTCCTTTTACACATACACATATTTCTATATACTATACACATGTATGCACATACTTTGTACACATGCACATATCTCTATATACTATATACACACATGTACATACTTCATACACACGCACATACCATAACCCTATATACCTACTACACACATTCCATCCAGACCGGCCGACGCGCAAGTACGAAGCCTCCAGTGACGAAGGGTCTATGGGCCACTCGTCAGGGCCTTCTTCCCCAGACACACCCAGACACACCACTGTGGCCAAACGCCGCCTGTCGCAGGACACAGACAAGTGGGGAATGAAGACTGGGTGCAGCCAGAGTGTGGCTGTAACCATGAACGACACGCAGCGCAGTGTGCGCGAGACTCTGTTCTGCTACGTGCTGGTCAATGTGACGGACTTGACGGTGTATATGCCCAGAAGTGTGGTGGAGGGCATTCCCAGGTGTGTGGGTATATATATATATATATATATATATATATGTGTGTGTGTGTGTGTGTGTGTGTGTGTGTATATAGCCCAGAGCTCCATGGACTGGAATAGCAATACGAGGACTACCAAGCGCACTCGTAGCGTTGTTAGTGCACATCGTATCTCTGTACATACAATAAGTCATATCTCCCCACGCATACAAATACCGACCCATAACCCGTACCGGTCCCACTGGTATGTGCACACACACACACACACGTACCTTTGTCCTTGTATACACATACTCACTCTCCTATCTACCTACCCCGTACGGCCTGCCCATTCGTGTATATCACACACCGTGTGTCTCATATTTCTCTGTAATCTGTCTGTACTGATACCAGCATACAGCCCTACACAGAGTGTGTGGCACGTATTGCGTCCGGTAGTTTGTTGCTAGTCTACTTGCCGTCAGTCGCAGTGCATTGTGCATCTGCACCGTCCGCCACTGTAGGGCTCATGGTAGTAGCCGTGTGTACACACCTGCCCACACACATCCCTACCCACTTCCAAACACGTCATATCCCATGATGGCCATGCTCCTATCTCTTTACATACACAAGTGACTTCCTATCATCCTCCTATTTGCATACATAAACGATTTCTCATGCCTGTCCACGTGTATGACGTTCATTCCGTAGCGAGCGCGTGCAGCAGACGCTCGGCCGTAGCCTGTTGGCCTATTTCCGGTTGTTGGCTGTGTTGTACCCACCGGCGCCGTCTGCCAATGTGGTGCGGTGTGTGCGCGAGAACATCGACCAGTTTGGAGAATTATTCTGGCTCGTGGATGCCCAGTTGGCGGAGACGGACTACTCGAAGGTACGGTGAGGTAGTGGTCTTGTGCTCGGCTCGTGCGTTCTTCTAGGGATCGTGGTAGCGAAGGTTATTGAAGAATATGGAAGGATATGGAAGGATCCATGAGGATTTAAATACTTCTATGCGGATTTTAAACCTTCTATGATACTTGTATGGTATTTTTTATGCTTGTATGATGATTTTAATACTTGTATGATATTTTTAATACTTGAAAATATTTTTAATACTTGAATATTTATTATACTTATTTATGATGATTTTAATTCTATTCAACTCTTGGGACCGGCAGTTGGAAGGCTTAGCGTGGTGGCTGACAGTGATGTGCGAAGAAACTACGGGCGATGCACTGGTTGCCAAGTTCTTAGGCCAGACAGTTGCCAGTCGAGGCCACCCGAGTACCCAACTAATGTGCGACTTCTTCATCTCGCTTAATGGGACGGCGACTCAGGTATATCCTTTATTTATGTATATATGTGCACACACAAACATAAACGTAAATATACACACACAAATATATATATATATATATATGAGCGTGTGTGTATGTATGTATGTATGTATGTATGTATGTATGTATGTATGTATGTATGTATGTATGTATGTATGTATGTATGTATATATACTATATATATATANATATACTATACTATATATATATATATATATATATATATATATATATATATATATATATATATATATATATATATATATATATATATATATGCAAGCATGCTTACAAACATACATACATACATTCATTTACTCGCATGATATTTGGCTCTAAACAACGACTCAGCCACCGTGATATGTTTTACCCAACGTGGAGTGGGCCATATAATTATCCACAACCTTGTGGGTGTATGACATGTAGCACTACTACTGCTTAAGAGTGCTCCTACCCAGACAACGGGCGGGGTAGTTATGTGCACATCATTGTCTCACTAGTCCTCAGCCCCCCCGGCTAAGTCAACTGTTGCGAATGTTGCGCTGGATATGAACCGAATGAGAAACTATTGTAAAAGTATCTTCCGTTGTCAACATAGTGTGCGTTGTGTCGTTGACTTTCCTAGATGGTTCTGTGGTGTCTGTTGGGGAGTGTTAGTGTTTTGGTTCTGATTAATGCTAGGCTGCCTGTGTGCGTTTTCCATACACTCATCGATATATGAATACGCCTGAGTGTGCACATAGTATTCGTGTACATACCCACTCAGCCAACCCACATCGCAATCATCCTCTCCTCAACTACCGTCTATCAATGTCATACACACTCAATAAGTACGTACACCCAGATAATAATGGGTATTGGTCCATACTAAGTGGTATTATTGGTTCTAATTTCATTTCAATTTGTGCCAATTTATATGCAGATCTCGTTCAACGAAAGGTTGCTGAGCGTGTTCTATCGATTGGTGCGGTTGCTGTGCTGCTACAGCATCGACTTCATACGCGTGTGGATGGGAAACAACAACTTTACCTGGGCAGTGGAGAATCTAATGACCGCCAACGTGGTCTATTCAAAGGTAACACTTTCTATATACAAGGCACATTTTTGAATTTGCATGTGGATATGGTTGCAAAGATGTATAGCTAGACTATACTCCAATATTAGAGCATATAAGTATATATATATATTATATATATATATATATGTGTGTGTGTATGTGTGTTTGTATGTATTCATGTATGTATATATATATATAGTGCGCAACTGTCTATGGCAATATTGCCCCCTGTATTCGATTTGATGTGCTCCCCATTTTCGTCTTGACCAATCAAATCTGCTCCCATCCTTAATCTCCACCAAGAGCCCTATACCCTGAACCCTAAACCCTCAACACACATACCCCGCTGGACTAGGCCATGACTGAAGTACTGCTGGTGGTCGAATACACCGCCACGCGCAACACCCAACGCCACACCCAACAACGCGAAGAGGCCATAGCCAACTGCGCTCGCCTACCACCGGCCCTGAAGACCGCTGTGTGGGTGGCACCGATTGACCGGGAGCAACAGGGCCTCACGGAACGCCGGGCCAATCTGATCCAGAAGTTGGTCAACAACCACACGCTGGGCGACCTAGCCCCGGTGGGCGGGTTTGTGGTGTACACGTGTCTTAATACCAAACAGCCCGACCCCAAGCCGCTGTATGCGCTATTCCTGCAGGTATACATTGGCAACAAAGGACGGGGGTTGGATGTGCTGTGGGCCAGGCTGATTAGCCTGCTGACCGCTTCAACGGCGATGCAGGACAAGCTGGCGGCGAATGCGTCGCAGCCACAGGCACACGCCTTGCCCCCGCCAGGCTATGCCGAGGGTGCTGAGAGTAGGTATGACGAGCGGAGTATTGAATGTATTTATAGATTGTACCCTTTGTGTATGTAATACACTTTTTTATGTGTGTGTAATTACTCCACCTTTTTACGTGTATGTACTATACTTCATTCTTTTCTGTGTGCGCTATATTTCACTATCCTCTTATGTGCATGTGATACATATCTCCATCTTAAAACATGTTTGAGATAAAGTCCACTTTTCTCCATGGACGTGTGATATAAACCCTGTAGATTATATGTATGGCGCCTATCTAGAGCACAATAACATGCACAAACACATATCCCAGCCCACATTTGCAACAACGCTCACCGCTTTGCATATATACATGCCACTTGCAAACAACTACTGCGTCGTATGCATACACAGATAAGCCCACAGGCGCGTCTGCCACGATTTCATAGTGGATTGTACATGTCTATTACGTTCCTGTATATATTGAATACTCCTCGTTATAGGCGTATCTCTAGCGTCGGCCATGATCTCGTAGTTGTCTATTACGTTCTTGTATATATTGAATACTCCTCGTTATAGGCGTATCTCTAGCGTCTGCTACGATTTCGTATTGGATTGTACATGTCTGTTACGCTCCTGTATATATTGAATACTCCTCGTTATAGGCGTATCACTAGCGCACTAGTATCCGCTGACACCCACACATGTGCACAGGTGCGTCAAGCGTGCGCAGTCAGACGCACATGCGGATTCATTTCACGTGTAAAGTTATTCTATTCACTGTTGTACTCATCACGCACGCATAGAAATCTGCAGGTATACATGTACATACACATAGTACAGTTATGCTATTCACTTCACGCATTGATACCTGCTTGCATATATGTTCATACACATAGCACAGTTATGCTATTCACTTCACACATTGATATCTGCTTGCATACATGTACATACACATAGGCGAACCAGTCGCAAGGGCCACGACAACGCACATGGCAGGAGCGTCCGTTCGGGTGTGCGTCGAGGAGATGTGGGGGTACAAACAGGAGGTAGTAGTGCAAGTATAGACATAGACGAAGACGATCTAGATGACTTCTTACCACCGGGTATGCTTGGGTGGTATCTGTGTGTTGTTGGTGTGTGTGAATATGTAGACTGCTGCATGTGTTGTTTATGATGCATCGTGGAGATGCACAAATGGCAATTGGGAAAGTGTAGATACAGACGAGGACGGTCTAGATGACTTCTTAGCACCGGGTATGCTTGGGTAGTATCTCTGGGGTTTTTTTGTGGGTGTATATGTAGGCTGCTAGTTAGATTCAGTTGACCTTATACCTCGTGGTACGCTTTTGTAGCAATCTTTAACATACGCCTGAGCAGGTATGTTGTTGGTTATGGATTGACATGTTATATATTGCGCCGAGAACGTTATGCGAGGAGATACGCTCATCTCTTGATTGAAAGAATTTGTCGCGAGGGTACGCATGATTGGCGCATTGTGCGCATTGTTAGTCTCAGCATCACTTTCACAGCGTTCACTTGACAATCCACGGCACTTCGGCCGTTTCTATGCTCAGGATCGTATACTGATATGCGCCATATATTCTCGAAAAGATTGTCCAGTTTCACAGGTTAGACACCCGCCTCTGGTCTTTCCCTTTTGGTTTAACCCCCCTCCTCCTTGCACCGTTCCTTCTCTCTCACTACAGGTCAAAGCAAGAGCAGCCCGGCTCACAATGCCTCCCACTCGCCCACACAAGCACGTGTTGACCACGTGGTCACCCCGGAGGATATGGAGAGAGAAGCCACGCTGCAGTGCATACTACGTGTGTTCGCACGGGTGTGTGAGTGGGTCCAACAAGACCTGGTGCCCAGAAACCCCCCCCGCAATCAGGACGAGTTCACCATCATCTCCATCACGCGCAGTAAGCTGCAGAGTGCGGATGCCGAGAACGTGCACGTTACCATGGAGATGGCGCTGTTGCAACGCTACCTGATGTTCGAGCCCGTGTGTGTGCTCGCGTGTGGGTGTGGCAGAGACGACGGCGGGTGCAGTACCAGCGCAACCACACAGACAGCCACTGCCGACACAGCCACCCTCCCCCACCCCACGACTGAACCAGCCACATCCGCCCCCCACACAAACACGCCCGCCACCACCACCACAACGACAGGCACAGGCACAAGCACGGACGCTCCTCCTAGGCCGTGTAGGCAAGACATCAGCCGGGCGGCAGGGCTGCAGTTGCTAGTGACAGTGTGCGATCTCGTGCCACCGACGCTGCATGACGTGCGCACGCACTTGCTGCGCGACCACCTGCGCATAGGTCCACGGAGTAGCTTACCTACCAATCGCAACGCAAGAGCCTATAAGATGTCGCCGGCTGGCGGCAGGCATACTATAGGGAGTTACCTGGGCCACACGCTGACCGAGTGCACAGGACCAGGCTATGCTCGCATGAGTGTGTGCGGGGATCTAGACCCACCCAGGTATGTTGCTACTGGTGCTGAGACTTCTTTACGTCTGTGTATATGTATACACGGTGTTGGGTAAGCGTGTATGTGTTTTCCCGGTTGCTAACGCATGTACTGGGGTGCATTGTGAGCTATAGCTACCACATATTCTGATTCTTTTGTGTTTGATTGTATACAAGGGTATGTGGGTATGAGCGTCCTATGTGGGGGTTTTTTTTTGCCTGTTGCTAGTCTTGGTATTCAGTGGATTGCGCATTTCTCTGCTACGGGGTTGGTCAACCGTGAACATTAATGTACGTCTTGACTTGTGTTGAGTGTTGCCTGCCTGTGTGTATATGGCAACTGGCCATGTACGCAGGAAGCCGAAAACCCAACCACTGAGTGTGTTGTATTATGTGTGGCTGTGTCTTCTGCGACTTCGTGAACCAAAATGTACATCACTTGCTGTTATCACCCAGATCAGAACAAAAACAATAGCACATGCTTGTCTCAGATTTTTTCGATCTTTTTTGAAACGATCAACGCACTCACCAACGCAACTGAGACGTCTGAAGGTACACGGGGTCGTGGTTCCACCATATCGAATGAGTCACACTGTGGTCACTCACGTACGCCTGTCTATTGCCCCACACTACTTTGATCGCAAAAATATTCCTGTAGTAGATTGACTGTTGACACAAACACTCTCATTGCTCGCACATGTGAGTAGAACAACCCACACGTCAATGACTGCAGAATTTTTGATCGGGATTTGTTCTGACATGAATGCCTTTGTTTGTGTTCGATTCTAAATATAGAACAACTCACATGTCAGCGGCCGCCAGTTTTTTATTCTAGATTAACACATGTCTTGTCTTTATTTTCGATTCTGGATATAGAACTACGCACACGCCAACGCAACTGCGACAGCTGAAGGAGTACTGCGGAATGGTGAACCAAATTGTGCTTCTCACACTGCGACCACCAATCGAGTTCGACTCGGAGGACGACGACACCGATGGCGAAGAGAGCGTGGTGCTCGAAGGGTTGCAGCTTAATATGGCCGTTGCCATGACAACCACGAGTGTACTTGAGTACTCGCCGCACAGAATATGGCCGACAAGGTACCGAATTATGTGATATCCCACCCTCTCATGGCGTGCGCGGATGTGATTGGATGTAGCTGCGTGTTTGTAGTGTGTTGGTTCGTGTTGTGATTGTACCAGTGTTATTGATACTCATGTCCGTGCCCAATCGCACCAACGATGTATATCTGAGGAAGTAATGATAATTAGATAAATCCAATCTCACTGGCTTCGATTTGCGTTCTCACAACGGCATACACTCACATTTGGCCTTCTAGTTCGACTTCTGTTGCAAATACAGGCTGTTTCTACCACAATATCTGGCATTGTTATTTTGATCGAACCGGCACATCCTCACAATTTCGTGTGACGACTGCAGCTGATACTGACATTACCGACGCGAAACTGACTGCATCTCTGACATTAATAACTTATTCATCCACGCACACACTAACAGTTTCTTGTCCTGCGATAGCTGTGGCATAAACAAATAATCTGATATTACAGACGTGAAATGAATCACCTATCTGACAATCGCTTCACTCACCCACAGTTGGTCGTCAAGCGCCACGCCTGTAGCGCGCAGTCAGCTCTGCGAACACGTGCGCATGGAGAGCAACAGGCAGGCATGGGAGAAGTACATCCTGTTTGTCCTCAAAGGTGGCGATGGTTACCTGGTGAATATGCCGGTGGATGTGCTGGACCGCTTCGCTGCCCTTGTAGACGTAGTATGTGGGAGTGCATGTGATACTATTCAAGCCACCAACCTGTGTAGGCGTCATGTGTGGGTATGAAGTGAAACAATGGTAGAGGTAGTATGTGGGAGTGCATGTGGTACTATTCAAGCCACCAACCTGTGTAGGCGTCATGTGTAGGTGTTACGTGAAACAATGGTAGAGGTAGTATGTGGGAGTACATGTGGTGCTATTCAAGCAACCAACCATTGTAGGCGTCATGTGTGGGTGTGAGTGAAGCAGTGGTAGAGGCAGTGCATGGCGTGATCCTTGACGCAGTGCTTTTCTGGGGCGCATTCGCATTGGTAGCACAACATGTTTAGAGGTAGATGGGTGTGTTGAAGTTTGCGCACCTACCTTTTGTCGTACCTACAAGGCCCTTGTGTTGACTATCTCTTGTTCGTTGAGGTATGTCTGTGCTTCAGCTTCGCCTGAGTGGAGGTGTGACTTGTCACCTATTTAGCAGCCAATGTACATCAATACTCGATTTCCAGGTGTAGAAACCTGTCCGAAACGCTTTTGAGTTGAGCTGCTGGGACGTTTAACGGAATACAACTCTCAATTAATAGTTCGTGCATGAATTCTCGATCTACCAACGTAGCGCTGGTACTTGTGCGTGTGTCCATGAATATCACGCGTGTATTTATTAACGTACTAGTCCCTGCTTTACGCTTCTAGAACACGTAATTAGGTATACCTATCAAGGCATACGCGCCTCATACACATCTCATTCGATTTGCGTCTGATTGCTTCTAACCGTATCCTTCCTCTATACCTGCAGGTGTTGCATACCGCCTCCGTCCCGACCAAAACGGCTATCGCCACGTACATTGAGAGTGTTGTAAGCGATATGCTCGCGGACGAGCGCAGCCCTAAAGCCACTTTATTACAGGTACGGTTACGGATATGTATTTGGTTTGTAAAGCGCAACTGTTGTTGTGTAGTGACTTGGACCTGCGGTTGCCTAATTTTTCTGGCTGTGATTAGGTTTTTTAAAGGAAGTGTTTTCTTGGGTTATATCAAGTAAGATCCAATTAAACGCACAATACTAGTCAAGGTATGCAGGCCCAAGAACATGGGTATTTCACTTTTATCCTGCAAAGTGTAGCCAGAGATTGTTAAATCGAAATTTCAATAGTGTACGCGTTGCGCACTCTTAGCTATCGATTTAGTGCTATAAAGTACTCGCCACAGCTGTTTCTGATGTGCCTTTTTTACTCACTTCCCACATACACAGATATACAAAGTGCTGTGTGTGTGTATAAACACGAATGCGCTCGATAAACAACTAGATGTGGCGTCCTCAGTGTCTGTGCTGGGTGCTGCAAATCCCTCCACATCGACCACGAACCCAGAACTTCTGCTGGTAAAGAACATAGCTGAAAAGCTAGCTGCTCGTAGCTAAGGCTAGCGGATGCATACGGTTTGTGTTCACTCACTTACGACCAATTGCGGTAAATAGAGTCTGATTGCATCACGTTAGTTTAGTCAGTATGAACAGTTCCCATCGGATTGCCAATCAATATCTGTGATACTAAGTCAATAAACAATTATGTGATTATACGTCTCATTTCAAAAAAAAAATCACAAGTATGCCTTTGGGAAATCTGAGGCAGGCTCCTGCAGCTTTGGTTTTAACATGGCCTCGTGGTGAAGTTGCGTACAATTGAAATCAAGAAAATTCATGTTTCTGTAAAATTGGGGGGGACTATATGAGGAAGGAAGGAAACTGACAGTCACTACACCACCTGCGCCTTCGATGAACTCACCCAGTGTTTAAGCGTTTTCTCCGTCAAGCCCGCAGCTGGTCTCTGCATATCAAATTAGAAAGACCCAATCGTCTGAGGTTATTGCCATACATCATTGATTGCTCAATGATCGAATGGCCTCTATCAAATCTCAGTCGTCCCGAATCGAACAACACCCCGGCTAAAGCCAAAGAATCGAGATGTCTATGCACCGAACACTGAAAGGCACCTCATCACTTCTGGCGAGTTGAGGCCAAGCTCTCCCCGATGTTCTGGAACTTAAGACAACTCAAAATTTTAGTTGTCTCATGCAGAAACAAAGACACGTAATATGCCTCTGTTCAGTATAGATACGAACAAGGCACAATGCGTATTCGTGGCAAACGCGAGAAGTTCACAACGGCGATAGATTTTATAAATATTGCACTCATTAATTTTAGCCATATGTGGCTACTTGCATCAGGTTTTTTTTACTGATATTGGTGACGTGATAGAGTATCTGATCATGATGAGTAGCTGACTTAGCAGGCACACAGCTTCAATGAACAATTAATTGCCTCTATTATGCCACACAACCAACGCCCAATACATACCCATTCGACCTCAACTACTTGCCACATTCTTAGCAGCAGACACGCATCGCATACCCCTCGCGTCTTGCCAAAAGTGTCTCCTAGAAAGCCGCTATTGCAACTCGGCTGCCAAGCGTACATCAACTAATACATCCACATCAAACACCAGCACACAAAATCAATGCTCTTGCAATGACTACTACAATAGACGCGGTTTTAGTCGCGTCTATTGAACGCAACTCTACACGCCTACCATGCTCATACTCCCACAGACAACTGATTACATAAGCCGCCTACTTACTCACACATAAAAACACAGGTACACGCACCTTAAATAGCATCTAATCACCCCCTACTATTCAACCAAGTGCACACTTACGGCAATACATGCACAACCCAAAGAACACAATAGACTAGAAGATATACTTCTATGTGATTCATATATTGACTTTATTTAAAATGTATCTTAAAAAAATGTGCACCCACCACAACCATCTGGCCACGAGCACTCCTCACTCCAGCAATCTTTAGGTGACGAGCTGGACCAACAACAACAAAAATGGGCCCAGTGACACGGTTCAATTCAACACTGGCCATATTACTGCCTACTTCCGTCGGTCTACACGTTAAAGAACGCAGCAACGGCTCGCAAAACTATCACAGAATTCACGACCTACGAAAAGACACAAGTGTCAACGACTACATCGCACCTCGCAAACTCGAATATTAAACTCAGGTTCAGTACTCGACTCGGTCGCAGCCAACGCTAATGCATTCGCTCTGCATTTATTTAACTTGATCAAACTACAACTAAATGACATTCCTGTGGTCGGCTTTCAATTACAAACAAAAATATACATCAAAAAGCATTTAACCTTTTGGCATGCGCATCAGCCCTCAAATCTTCCGTTTGCACAACTGGCAAAAGCGTACACATACCTGTCTACACCTACACAGTGGTAGTACCCACGATTCATTTTAAGTATACAATTTTATGTCGAATATTTGTATGGAGCCAGATAATAAATATATCGCGACAGCCTTCGAAGTGCATGTCCAGAAAAATTTATCAAGACCAAAACGAATTTGTCTGACTTTCGTATTCCTGTCGATATTCTCAACAGCAGGCAACATCTCATGGGGACGCAACCTTATTGGCACCCTTGCTACTCCTTTCCTACGCCCCACAGTCCTTCACATCGTCAACCAATCCGCGATTAAAGTCGCCCTAAGTACTAGTACCCCCAAGGGCCTCAAACACATTCATATTCGTACACAGTACATTAATGAAAGAAAATATGTTTTAGAAAATAAGGCTGTTTCTGTTCTGTACATTCGTACTGATGACAGTCCCGCATATTTGTTAAGGAAAAGTCTCCATCGGCCCAAACACACTAGTTTCGGGACAAAGTTGTGTCCTCCGCCCGTTATGTTAATTTTCTTTGTAATGCCGAGTACATTCTGCTACAATAAGTAGTGACGTGAACGTCCGCTGTTCTATTGTAATTTTTTTTACCATGCAACGTAGCATTATGTTATAATGAAATAATTATGCCATGCCATTGCCTGCCTGATGTTTTGCATATGTCTACCAGCGGTGTGTTAGCTAGTGTGTATGTTTTATGTATGTTGTGTCTGCTACAATATTAAAATCAAAATTTAATGTATTCCATTAAATAACATAATTATAGTTGTATGTGCTACTCTGTTCTGTTGGGAATCTACCTAAAGTGTGCTTATGTGTAAATATCCTATATAATCGATAATATACAATCTACCTTTTTGTCTGTTCGTGACGCGCGCATACCTGTAATTCTATAACACCAGTCAATAGCATATCCTTGCAGATATTTGACAAGCAGTCATATACTTCTGTGAAACATCTCAAATAATCTCAAAATATTTTTAACCATGCAAACAGCAGTGCCTCCTGCAGCATAATTAATCACCGTCGTTCATATGATTGCACGTCGTAGGCATCAGCACATTGTATACGCAATACTGAGAGTATCCTTAAGCCTCTTTTCGAACGATGGTCACGCATGCAACTGTTGGACATCATCTCACTAATAAGTGATAACTGAAATCAGTATACACATAGGTAATGTCGCCGTGAGCAAAGCTTCTACGTCACCGCTAGTATCCACCCAGCCGCCAGTCGAGGTCCCGTCTGTCGCGTCAGACATAAATATAGAAATTTGTGATATTTTCCAAATTTAATCTAAGGACTTTCTTGTAGTGTCTGCCGTGTGCGTTGGTGATGCCGACGACTATTGACGTACTTGTAAAATTTGCATCAAGGCTCGCCCCCAACCTTAGTACGCTATATGGTTTCCTTTCGAATCTCTGTTGGTGTCCTAGCAATCACTTTCACCTTCGACAAGTTGTAGATCCGTTTAAATTGAACCTTTTGTACGATCGAAATATGTCGTCCTAAAAGTCCCAGTTAGCTCTGTGTCGGTTCTACACAGTATTAGCTTGAAATGTTTCCCTTAGCCACCAGCATATATTTTAACTGTATGTATCATGTCCACGAGCTCTTGTACAATGATTGCTGGCTCAGATGAAATTGTCTTGTGCGTACAGTTGGTAAGTGCGGAACTTGTAGATTTTGGTCGGCACCTGAGAAATATTTCATGAGCCCCTATTAATCGCATGGTCCGTTTCTGTCCTGACTGTGCCATTGCCTTAAGACGAGTCTACCCGTTGTATGAAAAAAACCGAAATTTCCGAATTAGTAGCCGAATTAGCAAAATAATCTCCTTAGCGTTTTGCACATGTGTCAGCAGCCCTAAGTTGTCGCTTCGCTTGATAACCCCTTCCATATGTTGTATGGCCTTATCCAAAGTAGAATCGATTGTTGAGTCTCAAATATCAAAATGGTCTAGCGTAGTATAAACCTCTGCCTTGGTTTTTCATCCGGTATTGAATCAGAGCAAGAATATGTCGCCACCTCTATCATATCAGTATGCAATGACGAATGCCGATGAACTTTAAACAGTCGTTTTAACAATCGAACACAGGATTTCTTGCTCACATAGTAACTTCATTCATCGTGTAAGAAAAAAAATACACAACTAATTAATTTTAATTAGCTTAACCTGTAAGAAACGTAATGTAATAAACATAGTAGTTCGGTCACTTAAAAATGTGATCTAAACCGAGTAACGCTTAGTAAAGAGTGTTAAGTCTGAAACAAGTGAACTCTGTCAGAAGTGCCATTGGGAATGGCGCGCCTGCTATAATTATTAATCACGATCCTATGTGGAACGAGGCTTTCTCTTTCATCAGGCTATGTGAAACTACCCATCTCGATGGTTTTGGATGAGTCATCACTTTTATCTCTTTGAATTATCTATTCCATTAATCGGTCCGGTCCCCTGGCTCGGTCCTCAAATAATCCCCTAGGTTCGGTCCTCTGGTCCGGTTCTTAAAAAATTACCTAGGCTCGGTCCTCTGGTACGGTCCTAAATTTCTCCCTCAGGTCCGGTCCTCTGGTCCGGTCCTAAATATTCGCCTAGGGTACTTTATCCACAGGAGTCACCGAAAGCGCGCCCGACTCGAGTATGCTCATGGTGACACCACACCATACTCCCATAATATATAGCACATCAAGAATTTAAAACTTTTTGAACACGAGAAGAATCGAAACCGAGTAACGCTTAGTAAAGAGTGTTAAGTCTGAAACAAGTGAACTCTGTCAGAAGTGCCATTGGGAATGGCGCGCCTGCTATAATTATTAAACACGATCCTATGTGGAACGAGGCTTTCTCTACCATCAGGCTATGTGAAACTACCCATCTTTATGGTTTTGGATGAGTCATCACTTTTATCTCATTGAATTATCTATTCCACTAATCGGTTCGGTCCTCTGGTCCGGTCCTCTGGTGCGGTCCTGAATATCCGCCTAGGGTACTTTATCCACAGGAGTCACCGAAAGCGCGCCCGACTCGAGTATGCTCCTGATGACACCACACCATACTCCCATAATATATAACACATCAAGAATTTAAAACTTTTTTTGAACACGAGAAGATAATCGCCATAGCACTTCAGACTGAGTTCACTTATTTCAGACTTAAAATTGTCTTTACTAAGCGCTACTCGGTCTTGACCACAATGACACGGTTCTGGTGTCTCTCGTTCGAAGCCATAAACAACGGCTCATGCATTGGGTCGTTCAGCATACACATCAGGCGGCATACTGAGCTGATAGTCTGCCTTGCTCCAGCATATTCCTTCGTATCCTCAGTAGCGTTCTTCACAGCCTTTCTTGTCTTGCGTAAACCTACAGTGCGATTCTAATTTGATCAATCTCTTGACTTCATCGTTTAGTCTCAGGACGGTTGTAATTATTTCTTTCGTTGCAAGAAATGGCTTGCCTTGCCGATCGTATGACTTGGAGCATGGGACAGCAGCATGAACTCCTGTGTCCACAGCATACTCCGCAGTCAAAACAAGATCTTTCTGCTTGTCTTTCTCTATTACAGCCCTTCGCTGATATTTCTTCCACATGCTAACCCGAGAAAATACCATGTAATTTGGCTTCACCGCATATAGTACCAACGAACCCATTGTAATATCTGGCTCAATTGCTGACCCCCCAAAGTGTACGGGCAGATAAGGGGTATACTTTGAGTTTGTACATAACCTTACGGCCCACGGCAAGAAGGGGTGCATCGTAGCGCATTTCATTGGCCTGTTTGCCCCCAGATTTTTAAGCGTTACGATTACGTTCCCAGACATCTCCGTCGCGATCAGTAGGAGGCGGTATTAAAGTGATTGATTGTTCCCCGTCAGGAAAGTCTTAATTGATAATACTCTCTAATTCTTTGTGTGCAGAGTGGTGGTAGGGTCGATTAGTGACGAGTGTATAGGGAGACACGTTTGCAACCATGTTAACTCTAGAATTCATATCGCGTGCAAACTTCCAGCCATTGATATACCATGTACGTTGGTATCCGTTCCGAATTACCCAAGCACACCACGTGTCGATGAGTTCCTCGACAAGGCCATTATGGCGGTGATCATTTACAAAAACAATATGGAGGTCGAGATTCAGACCGGCACCAATTACGGAACATATCGTAATTGAATGGGCTATCATCATCAGCCAAATATTGGTCAGTAGAAGCCCTTTGCTCAGGCTGCTGTTTCCGCTGCAAGATTACATTAGCAGAGGTCTTTTCATCATGACGAAAAGCTGCACCGCGTACCACTTTGGCATGCTCATCAATACAGAACATCTTGTACTTAAAGCCACACGAAGTCTCGGACATCTTTTTAAATTCCAAGTGGCGGATCACACCAAAATTTCCCCCCCGCGTAGGTTGGGTTAAAAGACCCATAGTAGGGCCAGGCTATAAACCTTCCAAGCTACAACCAGGGCAGGAAATCACCAATCGGAGTAGAAAGTCGTCTGGAAAGGACCAATGGAATTGTTCCTCGAAAGCTCGCTTCAAACGGCGAAGGCGCAGGTGGCCACGCTTTGCATGTGTCGACCATATGCACTCAGGAACCTACTTAGGTGGAATAACTCGCGTGTGGCAGGTGTAGACTTTCGTAGAAAGCTCCGCGAGCACCTCATCAAGAGTAAGCGGTTGATAAGACGGGGAGGGGGTGGCTGGAACGACCTCTGTAGAAGTTTTAGTGGGGCATCATGAGCCACAACATGAGATACTGTATACGTTCGTTGGGAGTCCGGCGGCAGTAACGTGTAGCCAAGGGGGCTATCATCCGCCAGGGGATCTACAGCACCACTCACCGGCAGGGGAGGAAGGGGGGACTGCAGTAGCACATGACTAGTAGTAGGGGTATAATCCTCCAGTAATTCACCGTCCGGCTCAGGAGGGGCCCGGTAAGGTGGTACCAATGCCGTGGATGTATTAGGGGATGGAGGAGTAGAAAAAGAAGCTGGCGAAGTATCTGGTTCATCCACGGCATCCAGGTCGACCACCTTGTCTAAGATGTCACCATTCATAAGGTCCCCATCATTATAGTTGATTACACCTGTTGCATTAATGGAGCTTTGCGGAGTAGTTGTAGTTGTAGCAGGTGCATCAAAGGCAGGAGGACTAGAAGCGGATGTCTTTGGCCATTTCCAAGTCCATGCTTCCTTTTGGCGTATTTGCCGAGATACTTTGTGGTGAGCTCGCAGCAAGTTACCAATAGCTGTCTCTTATTGAGAGTACATTTTGAACGCACATGGGCGGCGTTTGGTTAAGACCATAATAGGAACTAAATTAGTAGGTTGCGGGTTTAGTACAGCCGGCGGGGGACCTATGGCACCAAGTGATTTCCAAAAGGAAGCAGGAGTAGGGAGATATTCGTTTGGTGTTCGAGTGGCGCTAGAGATAAGACCTGCAATGGTGTAGGGTCATGGAGGCATAACGAGGGATGTTTTAGCATCCGGTGCATTTGGGATAACTATAGGCATAGCTATTAGCAAATGAAAGAAGACTGGGAGCCATGAGCAACTAGTAGCGAGTAGCCAGAAAATGGCGGAAGAACTCCTGATAGTTCCGCCACGGTGGGTTAACCAGCACAAAAGTCCCCCAAAACCAGCCTTCGGTACCCCCCATTTTCTGAAGATGAGGGATGTCCAAGCAGAGTTTAGCATGAGCTCATCCGAATAGGCATGAGGGTTAGGGGATAAGAATGCAATAGGGAAAGGATTTTGTGGAATCTCATCCACAGGGCCCTAAGTTACGTGTTTATGAACAAAAAGGCATAATGGAGTCCAAGTGCGCAGGCTGGCGCGAAAGCATGTCGGCGACGGTATTAAAGTTGTGCAAAGCCTTCGGGTGGAGCGCCGCCTATCGAAAAGGAATCGGATTAATATTCCCGAGCCTCGACGAGGATAATTAAGGCGGTAACGCAAATGAACTACGTGACGTCAGTTGGAGCCCTGGGAAGAGTTCTCTTTTCTTTTTAACGAATCACTACCATGAAATCATTTTATTTGGAGCTATGGTTTAATATTCGGTAAAGCAGTCTACTTCTTGGACTGTAGTTCCATTCGCCTGGTGTATGGCGGATATCTACACGATGGCGGCGAACCTATTCAACGAGGCGTTTAAGCCTGTCGCCGAGAGTAGTCTCAGGCAAGGGAAAATTGACGTGAAAGAAGTTGAGCACGTCGAGGTGGTCGGTCCAGATGATGAGGAAATTATATTTGGCTGTAATATTCATTTCTTGTTTATCCACACCATAGGCAATAGACATAGTTTTCAAGTCACAGATGTGATAGCGACGTTGAGCCGCATGGAGTTTGGTACTGTGGTAGGAGAAAGGATAAAGACGGTCTATGCCGTTGATACAGAAACCGTCGATTCGGGGGTCAACCACCTGAGATTGGTCTTCGACCAAAGTGGTGCGGCAAAAATGCTTGTGCGCCCGCGCAAGGAATACGTGTTCTCGTTCAGAAAGCTTTTCTTTCTGCGTTGTCCAAAGCCGTTTGAGAATTGGGAGTGTGAAGTCAGGGGCTATCGGGGAAGGCAGGGAACGCTTCGTAGGCGAAGGTCGACCAGGAGGGGATTTCAGTGGTGGTGGGGTAGGGCCACGGGGGGTAGTAAATTCGCGATTTTGGCGAGTACGTTTGTTCGCCAAGGCAGCATCGGTGTTATCCAGACGCTTAGAGCTCAGGGGTTGAACCCAACCCTTGGGGAAGGCTGCAGGCGGCTCACCTTTGCGAGGAGTAAGCACAAAGAGGCCACATCTTATGCCAATGGGGCATGCATCCACGAACATGTGGAGATAGTGCAAGGGGTAAGGGGTAACCAACATACCCTGGATAGCTTCTTCAATCATAATATAAGCAGCATGGCAGGCCTCAGAATAATGGAATCGTGTATTTTTAGATGTCAAGTCTGTTAATGGGGCCAGCATTATAGCCAGATTAGGGATATATTGAGACCACCAGTTAAGAGTAGCGCAAAATAGTTGCGCTCCTTCTTTGGTCTTTGGGGGGAGGGGGGAGGGGGTAGGGGGGGAGGGGGCATAAAAATAATAGCCTTGAGCCGATCCTCAGTAATAGTTGTATATTTATGGATAGTTTGTCGACCGTAAAATATCTTGTCCGCCTCTCGTAGTAGCATCAGGTGACACATAGAAGCCCGTAAGCGGATATTGAGCATATTCAAATCTTTGCATAGGCAATCATGTCATTCCAGTGTCGGTTAATAGCCATGCGGCCCCAGTGGGCCATAGCCCCATCGTCCACGAAGTGCTTAAGCACCTCGTGGAGAGTAGCAAACGAACGGTCCATGAATGCTTGCAAATCAAATGTCATCATTTTAACCCCGAAGACTTCATTGAAGGGTTGTCAAATATCACCCGTGGACATCATCCACGTAAGGTATTTACGTGAGCGCTCTGTGTAGCGCAGTTGGTTAAAGCTGCATGCCATATCTATGGTAGATTCAATGTCACCCCGCCGAATATGGTCCAAGCATTCCTGCTCTGTGGGCATTGGATAAATTACAACTTCAAAATTCACATTGTTGGCATTATAATTATGCCAGTAGAGAACGTCTTTAATGACTCTGGCTTAACACGGGAGTCCTTCCGAGCTAGAACAGCACTAGACATGTACGGTGAAAAGTAGTTACCAGGCTATATGATGCCACGAGCATAGTCGCGATCACATATTTCTTGCTCCCACTTGATAGATTGTGGTTTAGCATCCTCTTTGATTTTGATGTCAACTTCATACCAAATATCAAATTGTGATTTGATTCATCGTCCGGATACTATTTAAACTCTTTGACCTCTTGAGATGTTATGTGCATGTATATAGCCGCAGCGTCTTACACCACCCCAGTTATATTCTCGCAGGATTCTTGGAGAATCACGACAGCGACGTTCAAACTCAACCACCGCGGCCTCATGCACGAGAGCCGGTACCACGAGGCCAATATAAGGGGCCGACGGGAGTGCCAAGGATGGTGTAGTCTTCAAAGGAAGGGCAGGAGCTTGGTCCTGTACCTATATTCCAAAATTTGGTGATGCAATAGACTGGTCCCAATAAGTTATCTCTTTGGCTCATAAAGCTCCATAAAAATAACAGCCATTGTAAACTTAATCAGATAGATAGAAAACAGATTCTTTCGTTTCAAAGTAATTCGTGCGAGAAGCATCAATGTACACTTGTATGAGTACTGAAGTAGTAACTTGTTGTGTAGGGGATTGAATCGTAACACCCCCGAACACTTTCATGAATACAGGCGCGATGTTCTGGATCTCCAGACCTTCAGTTATTGCCAGTTGTTTGTTTATAAGATTCGGCATAGCACCGTCGTCATCATGACATAGCACACGAGGAGAGCCAAAGCCAGCAGGAATCACCGGGCCCACGCGATTTCAGTTGCGGTAAGTATTGTCAGGGCACTAGGCAGCTTGATGACCAGGTTTGAAGCAGTTGTGTTGCATACATTCTCCCCATCGGCATTCTTACGCAGAGTAACCGGGTTGGCGGGAGGGATACGAGAAGTGCATTACGTGCATCGCGGGATTGTGAACGGCCACGGTTATCATGGGGTGCCGGGGTCGTAGACTGGGAGCGAGAGTCCAGGCCAGAGTCATTACGTATGAAGCTGGAGTCACAGTCATCAGAGCGGCCATAGCGTGAGTGAGAGTTGTTACGGTCGCCACGAAAGTCGCCGTCACGGCGGTCATTACGGTCATTGTCGTAGCCACGGTCGCGGCTATCGCATTCGCGGTCATCAAGGTCACGGTCACGGTTACGATCTCCACGAAATTTGTTGTCACCGCCACGGCGCTGTCACCACCATTGCTATCACGACCATTTCGGTCGTTGTTTCTATTGCGGTTACGTCCCCGATCGCGTTCACGAGGTAGCTCAATGGCGCGTGGCTCCGGGCTGTAGTTGGGGTACTTACGCGCGTAAGATTTCTTCAGGATTGCAGTGCCGAAAGAAAAATCTGCCTGGTTATGGATGAAACCAATAAAGGAAGCTTTAACCAAGTTCTCCAGGATATCTGGAAAAAGTCAGTGGTACGCTGATGGAAGTTGTCGAGATAGCGCTCAATTAGAGTTGAATCGTGGCGTAGGACATGGCATAGGCGATGAGAAGAGCATGCGCAGGGCGGCGGTCCTGGCTAGCTCCCTTATGGAGATTCTCCAGCAAACGTGTCATTGGTGATGAACTCGTTTTGGTTAGACAGCTTGGGAGCAGTACGCTTCCATGCTTTCGTGTAGATAGTATTCTGGACGCTCAGGGACCCATGCTTTGAGAGATTCCTCATACACGAAACCATCGCTCCAGTCCTTGATCTCACCATTCTCGTCAAAGGCATCCTCAGCATCACGCAGGAGCCATCGACGGCGGCTGTAGGAGAAACGGAAGGGTCCCTCAGGCTTAAGAGGGACGTCGGACTCGTCATGAGATACAATTTCATGCTCGCGTCTTTTCCGCTCCTCTTCCCTTTTCCTTGCGTTCGCGCTTTTTCTTCCCAGCTTGCTCCTTGGCGCGCTGGGCCGCCCTTGCTGCCTTCTGCTCATCAGTGAGGCTAGCTCCCTCAGCCGCTTGGGCATCCTTGTTCTCGATGGTCTTAGTCAGCTCTTTGGTCTTAGCCTGGGCACGTGAAAGCTCAGTACGCAACTCCAAGGCGGACATTTGGGGGGTGGGTTCTTCCAAGTAAGCCTTAGCTCCGAGGGGAAGACGGTTGGTAGCTTCTTGGTACACGTAAGCACCTTGGATCTCCTCCAGATCACGGTAAGCCATCATCACAGTCGTGCGGGGTACAATCCCAGCAAATTCACGGAGGCGCACGATGCGGTAGTAGGGTAGTCCCTTGTCAGGTCCCTCTAGGGAAGCAGCAATCTGGAAGATGCAGGATTCTTGGCCCATTATGAAAATAGGTGGCGCATAGACCCAAACTCCAACAATACTAATGCGATATACTGAATCGCCGTTGTCGAGGGCGTAATGAACGAGTCAATCAGGTGCCAATAGGAAGTGACTATGTACTTCATCAGCGCATTGATCTTGGCGCTTCGGTCAGAAGAGGTAGGACTTGCCGTTCAAGCTGCGGAAGGGCTTCTGCACGATCCAGTTCTGGGAAATGGATACTTATCGGATCCACCCTGTATCCGAATGTATTCACCTGTAGGTCGAGATAAAGATGAACTGACCTTGTATAAGTATCTTTGGGGAACGAATAGTGTGGAGTCAGGTGTGCACCAAGCAGTGAGTAGAAAGTTTGGTTGTAAGATAGTAAGTGGGAGATTTCAGACAACGTGCTTGCTTATTTTAGACACAAGCGAAACTACAAACAAGCTGTGTGTCGACTAGGTGTTCCAGAAATAGGGCATTGTAACACTCAGTACGTAGATAAATGCGCTATGCTTTTCTCAGAGCTAACGGGCGAGGCATACAGTGTACGACCTTACACAACCAAAGACTACCGTACTGTTGGTGATCTCTGGCCGCGTCCTGATGGTTTTGTGCCCACAAGCGAAACGTTTGGCTCGCGAGTTTGAGTCACTTGTTTGCAGATGACATCACAGACGATCTGATAGAATGAATTCAGTCGGTCGGTATAGAAAATGATCATCTCCACGTAGCTAATGTCCAGGGTCTTCCGTGTGTTTGTCAAGATATGCAAATGATCGAGGAGTGGTTTCTCTGCGTGAAACCTAATCGCGAATTGAATGCAGAGAGTCTAAAGCTTGATTCAAAAGCATTCATGAAGAAGCTGAAGGAACGTTGGAATTTTAAAGGGGATGGCCGTACAATATTTCTCAAACTTCCGGTTCATTTCGAAACAGCATAGGCTCAACTCAAGAAGCGCGCTGCTGTGCACAAATCTATAACCGAGAATCAACGGGACGTCAGCAGTCTTCACCGAGAGCTACTGAGTGATACTGTTTCTGAGGAGGTCACTAAAGCGTCAAATCTTGAATATGCACAAGCACATAGACTTGAGGAAGCGAATCCTTCCATACCGGATCCGGGGCTTACAGTTAGTGACATTGATGTAAACTTTTTGCCACCCCTTGGCCAGGCTCACGGTACTAGCCAGTTACCCAGACCCGTTGCAACGGAGAAACCAGTTCCTGGTGGAATTCGGACTGGTATGAAAGGCAAGAGTGCTAGACATTATATGTCAGTAATACTCACACCTGATAACAATTTAGCTCCAGACCCTGTGCAAACACAGCCTCCTATGCAAACACAGCAATCTCAAACAATTATACCATTTAGCAGTCAAGCACCGCAGCTGCACTATCATCCTAACATATGATGGTATATTATCAATACAGCCTTCAATACATCAAATCAGTTTACTGCGGTGAATACAGCAAATCAATTTACAACGCCACACGCTGTATCTAGGATACAATCTGGTCGTATTCAAAAACCCAAACGCACGCAACGTAAGAGGCGCTCAAATTGTAACGATAACAACAGTTGTAAGAAGCCATATGGTGGCATACGCAATGCATATTTGTAGAGATATATACTAATGCACGGATATCACTGAACATATGTACATGCTAAATAAGGAAAAAATATCAACAAATGCTCATTAATTTACTATTGTATATATTTTTACATGTACAAATATCTATTTACATACTGAGACACACTGGTGTAGCTATGCTGTCTATGCTATCTTAACCATCAACATCGATGTATTGCAGGTTACAAGAAATAGTATCTCATCGAAACAGTCATATGTGTCGCGTAGTGTATCACTTTGGCTGTCCTTCGGATAAGGTAATGTGGCAGCTGGATTCACGACTTTCAAGGCCTTCACAATACGTCTATTAAATGTGTATGCCGCCGCTACATTCCCTCTCGATCGAGGTACATTCCAGATTGGCTGCGAGCCATCATCCTTATACAACTTTCAATTGCTTAGTTCGTCCGCATTTTCACAAAGCTCGCCCTTAGCTACCATCGCACTCTCAGACCTCGTGTATAAAAATATAAGACCTGTTGTGCCTATTGCCTCAAGAGAGCGATGCGGTGCTTCCACCCCCATTCAGTATAGCTTGTACGGTATATACAGATCAAGCGCTGCATATGCCAATTGTTCCTTACTTAAATCAGCAGCTCCCCACATTCTGCTTCGGATTGACTCAGGTTTGGGCAAGTACTCTTCTAGTACTATTTCCGTTATATTTTGAAGCCTCATATTTTCCTGGTCTATTCGACGTCTATCCTTCAAAAATAAAGCCAGATCGCAGCCGCCTGTCTTGTTTATATCGTACAATAGACGCATATATCGTATATCAACAGATACAACCTTAGAACCCACCCACGTTGCATTGTTCTGTTCTAAGAACCCGCGAAGTTGAACCGGCAAAAGTACGATATTTTTATTCATCAATAGTGGTAATCGAATCAACAATGCCACCCTATTGTTTTCGATTTGTATGAGGCCAAGTTTGGATACCTTTGAGCCTTGATATTCAACTTCCCATTCACAATCAAGAGCGTATACATGTGGAAAGTTCCAATTCATATTCGAATTCACCAGAATTGATATTCCGTAATTCAATTTACTGACATCCTTGACAGTTATTCGGTTGTAGACTGCAAGTATCATTCCTTGCCGGTCAAATGGGTGCAACTTCATTACTGAGTAGCTCTGGAACGGGGCGCTTTAGCATTTTTTCATCACTTATACTGTCGGTGTATACTATCCAGAACTTAGTGCCTAAACAAATGCATCGTTCTACTATCAACCTGATGGGCTCTTCGATCTCGACTACGGTTTTCGTTGCACAAAAGTGCATCTGCAGAATTTGCTCGTGGTCATTAACGATCGAGAACAAAGACCCATATTAGCGGCGTATTTTTCCATCATGAACAACACGTTTCGGCAATTTGAAGCTGTAGTCAATTTTCATTATCTTACCAGCTAAGTTCTGCATACGAAGATCGAAGTATCCACGATCGTTTTGTGCCAGACTATTCATGAGATCGCCTAGATGTATACTTAGTGCTGAAGAATGTTCCCCAGTAGCCTTTAGGATCCGCGAACAATGAAAACGCCTTTGCTTTCTTGGCATAGTCAGGTCTGTACAAAATATTGTTGTCGCCTAGCTTATTCTTATATGTTTCTAAGAAAAGGTACCAGTGTAAACTTCGATGGATATTTATATGTTTTAAACTATGATATATAAACTAAAATATAATTTAAGTCAGTTAGGATTTCGCAGTGGTAGCTTGTGTAAGAATGATCGGGACTGCCTCTTGGTAAAAGCCTTAATATCGTCGATCACACAGGACGTACCTCTAGCTGTTCTTTATTGAATAATTTTCACTAGAAGTACTAAGTGTTCATAACCACATGTCTAATTTGTAGTTAGACATAAGAACGTAAGTCAAGATAATACATTAGCTAATATAAATAAAATTCAATCTGAAGAAAAGTTAAAATAAGAAAAAGACTTATTGGATTTTGGAGATTGGGGGGAAGACCAAAACCTGTAAGTAGTAGTTCAGAAATTATAAACTTAGTTTATAATATCCTACATCTACTATCGTCTCAAATAGGTCCAAGTAAATGAGTCATACCAAATACTCAGGCTATTGAAGCCATCAAAGTGAATTTAGAACACTTCGGAAATATTGGAAAAAGAATTAAATCATTTTAAATACAATTAAAAACAAAAGTGTTATTTCATTTGATCTTGATATTTTAGACTGACCGGAGGCCGTATTTCTGCACCAGGCCAATACTTGTGCAGTATACTGTTTCAAATATCTCACCTCAACTGTTTCTCTGAGGCTAATGACCGTTCCTGATTCATAATACTGGTTCAGCAGCAAATCTTGCGCCAACTTCGCATTCACAGCACTCTTAGCTGTCATATAAGCCGGAAAATCCAGCTGAGCATCTTCAGGTAAAGCGGTGATTACTTCAGAATCACGCGCCATAGATCCTTTTGTGCAAGCGTGATACACATGTCTTCTCGGCATGGTATAGTAATCTATGTCCCATCCGTACACTTGCCATGCTCTAGGATTGTTGTTAGGCCATCCATCTGATTCTGTCTTGACAGATTTATACCTTGGGCAAGCTATAACTTGAGAGGCTATAGTATATTTCGGGCAACCATACAAATATGTCGGGCATGTAGAGAGGGTCCGGGTTGATTCACTGCTTCGTCTTTCCACGCAACACTAACGTAGGGTTTGGTGCACGCACCCACATCGAATTGTCCAGAAATCCCAAATATCAGCTTCTGATGTTATAGCCGGGCCTCTACATTAGACTCTATGTTATAAACGTACTCTTAAGCAATACGTAAACTATAAACGTACTCTTAATAGTACGAGGAACTTAAGATTCCTAAATGGTTTTTAACGGGTTTATTAATTAATACCTTTTCCATTTTACATATCAGATATTTGGACAAGGCCATTAAAAGGCCCCAGTAAAATACCAAACTTAAGATTTGGTCTAGTTCTATTAATAGAACTATATTTACTTTCCAAATCTATTTATATCTGAATACTTCGGTAGCGAGATGGCTCAACCGAACATAGGTTTCTAAGGACTATTGACGTTGCTTAGTTTATCCTCCGTTCAGCCAACCAGATGTGCCAGTCTGATGAAGGCTAAGTCGGTAATTCTTGATAAGTGGCAAGTTATTGGTTAATGCAATAACTATGGACATTAGGAGTATTTTTTTTATTTTTTTTTAGGATTTTATGAGTCTCTCGGATTCGCCCCAACGAAACATACCATAGTTTCTAATAGAGCGACAACGAAACACTATATAAAATCCCTTCGGCGAAAACAGTCTGAGAGGATTATATATAGGAAATGTCTCAGCCTCACAATCCCTCAGAGTATTGCTGTTTTCACGAGGCATACCTAACTTTACCAAAAGACTCATTTCGTCATTTACTTCGAATTTCACGATACTTAGACTTAACCTAAGCATTTAATTACTCTAAGGCGTTAATATCGCCTTGATAGACCGAATCTATCACATTTTAAAGTCAACAAAGGTATTAACTACTTGACTACTTGAACGTAAAGGTAAATAACTACCAAGAAATGTTTCCTAAGCACAGTCATTCCTTAAGAGAAAAAGACTGAAGTCATAAGTTAAGATTATGACAAAGAAAGACAATACACCTGCAAAGAAATGCAAGGCTGAACATAAGAAAATGGAGAGAAGCCGCTAGCGCTGCCGATGCGTTTAACCGCACCGAAGCCGAGGCACTTGTCTCCGATAATAATAGTCAACAGGACAATGCTTCGGATAAGGATGTAGCCACTCCGATTAAGGAGACTACTCCTACAGACAGAGCCCGAGGGCCAACTATTGCTTCAACTTCAAAGCTTGCTACGAAGCCAAGAAGTGAAACAAGGGACACGTCTTACGACGCCCCAACCAATTCTTCGGACGAAACTCAGAAAGAAAAGTCCCCAATTATAGGTGACAAAGACGAATCTCAGAAGGTACCTATACCGGAACCAGAAGAGGAGGCAAGCTCAAGTGGCAAACCCGAATCTACGTCCGAGACCACTGAACCAACGCGCATAAGTAAGTTAATCACTGAAAACACGGATCTTAAGAATCAGTTAGCCGCCCTTATGAAAGACATGACTGTTGAACATGTAGATCGAATGTATAGATCAGGAAAACATACACAGCACTTACGCGAGCATGTTTCTCCGGGCATTACTGAAGCCCTACAGAAGTGGACAGAACGTCGACAGGCAATTACGCCCGAAAAGCGTAAAGGCCTGAGTGCTACACCTGTGGCAGATGAGCCAGATGTGCTCAGCGTATCTATACCTTACGAGGTACTACCACCAGAACTCCAGGCTAATTACTCGCCTGTTCTAACACCCGGCCATGAGTCGCCCGTCCTTGAGGGTATTATAGAACCAGAGGCAGGTAAAAATACTCCGCCACCCTTACCCAACTGGTATGACAATCGTCGGAAACCAGTTAAGACTGGGTATGTTATCCAGACGCATGAATCACCCAAGATTATAGTACCAACTACTAATCAAGGAACAGAGCACCGAAAGGCCTCGACCATGGACAGGGGTAATAAACACTCCCGTAAACGTGTTACCGATGTCGAAATTAATCGCTTCGATAGCACAGCATTACACCAGCCCGCAGAGGATTTCCACTCTGACGAGGTGTCCGAACTTAATAAATCGGTCGACGATTACACCATTAAGATGGAAATCGCCCATGACGAGCACCGTGCTGATGACGTATCATATTTTGCTAATATGATCGCGATCAAGCAGAAGCG